CTCAGTGGAGGAGCGCTCCCGGTGCTGACCGGTCCTCACCGCGGCCTGCACACTTGAGAGGCCAGGACTCCTGCTCCCGCCTAGGCCCAAAAACAAGCCTGCATCCACCCCACCCCCAGTTCTCGCCTCGCCCCATAGGAGTGGACACCTGCACGGTGAGTGCAAGCCTACCACCTGCTCCCCAGAAGGCGGGCAGTAAAGAATGGGGTGTGGGCAGGGGAGAGGAAAGAATGTAGAGCATCCATGATGTAGAGGTGCTTGAGAATGAGGCTTGTAAGCCTCACGGGGAGGTTTGTTCTGTTTGCCCCACGGCTGTCCCTTAGGAAAGGCGGAGAGCCGGCTGTGAGGGCTCCCTGCGAGAGGAGTCCAGTTCCATAGCCAACTGGAATTGGCCTCAGTTTCCTGCTCTGTAAAATGTGTTAAGCGTGTCCCAGTGCCTTCACTGAGCTTTGAGGGCCAATTGAGATACTATATAAAGAAAATGAGGGAAGACATGAGAAAGAAAAGGAAGGGCGGGCAACACAAAATAAAGATTGGAAGGAACCTGTAAACCTATTGTCTCATAAATAGTGAATACCACTTTATTGTCTTTTCAGTATATGAAAAAGACAGTTGTCTTTATATGGTGCTTTTCTAAGTCATTATCTCATTTGATGTTCAGGGCAATTTAAAGACAAGATAATTATTCCCTCCACTGTTCAAAGAAAGGAAATCTTGGTGCCTGGCCCCAATGATTCAATCGTCAATCCCTTATTGTAAAGCAGGGTTAGTGAAATTTTCTGTGAAGGGCCATATCTATACTAATAAAAGCCTTGGGTGTGATCTGGCCAGTAGGGGAGGGCAGTTGCGGATGATCAGGCCGGCAGGGGAATAGTTAGGCATCAATCAGGCCGGCAGGGGAGCTGGTAGGGCGCAATCAGGCAGGCATGCAGGTGAGCGGTTAGGAGACAGCGGTCCAGGATTGTGAAAGGGATATCCAACTGCTGGTTTAGACCCGATCCCGGCAGTCGGACATCCTGGGATCAGGTCTAAACCAGCAGTCAACATCCCCCAAAGGGTCCGAGATTGGAGAGGGTGCAGGCTGGGCTGAGGGACACCCTCCTCCCGTGCACGAAATTTGTGCACCGGGCCACTAGTATTAAATATTTCAGTTGGTTCAACCCTCTTATTATGCATGGTCCCTCTTTATTCCTGGTACACTGCTTGTTTAAAAATTTACTTTTGGTGTGATATATCTTTTTTCCAATCCCTTTGCTTTTGATGTATCTGTGTCATCATATTTCACAGTATCTCTTGTAAACAAGATATAGTTGATCTTGTTTTTTTCCAAGCTGATAATCTGCCTTTTAATTAAAGAATTTAGTCTATTTTTATTTAATATGATTACTAATATGGTTGTGTTTAATTCCACCATCTTATTTGTTTTATTTTATTTGATCCTTATTCCTTTGCTTTCCCAGTTCTGCTTCTATTTTTTTCCCTTTTATTGACTTTTTAGATATATCTGTTACTCGTTACTTTAGAGTTGTGCTGTCCAATATGGTAGCTAGGAACTACATTAAATTTAAATTTAAAATTCAGTTCCTCCTTACATTAGCTATGTTTCAGGTATCCAGGAGCCATATGTGCCTATTACTGTATTGGACAGTACAGATCACTGCCAGAATTCTATTACCTCTCTAGAGATTAAGAACAGGATTTGAGTCAGAATTACCCAGGGTTAGTGTGGTAAGAGTAATAATATTCGAGTCTGAAGATAATGTGTCCACTGCAAATAGCTTTGTATACATGCCGTAGGCAAATAACACTACTGCTTTTAGCCTTAGGTTTCTTTTCTTAAAATGTGGAGATAACCATTTCTGCTCTTTCTGTTTCATGGAGTATTTGTGGAAAAGAAAACTGTAAAATGGTAAAAGTGCTTTATAAAGACTAAAGCAGTTAAAGTATTAAAAATTGCATGGCCTAGTTTTTACTATGTTGTTTCATCTTCTAGGTTGCTGAAAGAACTGGAATCTCATTCTTGGTGGCCCTTTAGCTTCAGGCTTTGGAAGATGCCATCAGACACAAACTCCAGGGGAGGCTCCTCAATGGCTAGTACCAAAGCTCTTGGAAAAGAAGGGATAGTGATCAGAGAAGGCTCACCATTCTTGTTTCTGGGTTGGAAATCCATGACTCAAATTCTTTGCTGTTACACAGATTTGAAAGAGAAGATGTAGATGACATTAAGGTTCACACACATTATGAGGTTAGCATCCGCCAGCGGTTCATTGGGAAGCCAGACATAACTTTTCGTTTGATATCTGCCAAGATGCCAGAAGTCGTCCCCATTTTGGAAATGCAGTT